AAAAAAAAAAAAAAAAAAAAAAAAAAAAAAAAAAAGAAAAGAAAAAATTTCAATGTGTCCCCATCCATCTTCTGTACTTGCTATTCTTTCTGCCTAGGATGCAGTCCCCCTAGACCTCTGTATGACTCACTGTTCACCAATACAAACAGATCAAATGTTACCTAATCAGCAAGGTCTTCCCCAACCATTTTACCTAAAGAGCTTCTTTACGCTTTATTCTTTATCATACTACCCACTTTTTTCCTTCATAGAGCTAATCATAATAGAAAAGGCTTTTGTTTTCTCATTTGTTGTCTGCCTCTTTACAAGAGCTGAAACTCCACCAGAGCAGGAGCTCTGGTTTTCACTGCTATACCTCAAATGCTCAGAATAGTGCCTGATACAGGGTAGGTACCCCATAAATATTCCTCTCCCGGTCTTCCTCAAACTTCAGTTTAGGTTACAATGACCTCTCAGTTTCTTTCCTAAGATTATTTTTGGTGATTGGTGGATTCACTTTGGTATTTAACAAAGTCTGATTTCCGTGTACGTAGTGGTACATTTAACCAGATGTGGTGGCACATGCCTGTAATCTCAGCATGAAGCAGGATGTGTGAGGCAGGAAAATCAAAAGTTTGAGGTCAGCCTGGGCTACTTAGAAAGACCCTGTTTCAGAATAAAAAAGGAATGTAGGAATGTAGACCAGTGCAAAAGTCTTGGGTTCAATCCCCAGAGCTATTCGCTCAAGAAAAAAAAGACCCCAAATTTATTATTTTGGAACATAAACAAAGACCAATTAATTTATGTCCCAGAGATTTTCAGCAGCCATATATCATCACTCCAGGAATCATAATTTCAGTTTGATCTCTCCTCATAAGTTTTAAATGGTGAAGTCTTGTAGGGTCTAAGAATTCAAAACTCACCTGATTCAGAGACTCAATTTCTTTGTCCATCAACCCAATTTTTACAGGATCATGAGGCTGAAAATCCTTCGTCCCAGCTTCCAGTTATAATAGTTCACTGGGTCAAAAGTAGGATGATCCAAGGTGCAGTATGGTCAATAAAGGCCAGAAAGGGCAAGCTGGCTATTTCTCATATTGATTTATGGTCTGTTTCCATGAAATCAAAGATGACTGGTCCTCTTGGCAGCTGGCTGACTGGAAGCTAGAAGCACTTCTGTCCTGGCTAATGGCCATGGCCCTTGGTGAGTATTTCATCGAGTCGTTTTCACGTTCTGGCGCGCAGCCTGTTTGTCCCGCCGAGCTGGGCTTTCCATGTGGTGCAGAGATGTCTCCACTCGGAGGGACGAAGCCCTGATGTGGCGGGAGGATGTTTCTGTGCGCTGCGAGGAGGTCTCCACTTGCTGCGAAGACACCTCGAGGACATATGGGAGCCGCTTTCCAGAAGGGTAATGAGAAGGCCCTTCACAATGGAACTGGGTGGTCTCCACCTGCCGGGAAGAAGACGTTCTCACCTGCCGAGATGATGTCTCCACGTGGCGGGATGATGTCTCCACACTGACTGTCGAGGTCTCTTTGCAGTGGGTCGTCTCCATCCGTGGCACAGAGGACTTTCCCCTAAGAGGTGAGGCCATTCTACCAGTGTTTGTGGGCCAAAGAGAGCAGTAGGGTCTCTGCAGGCCTCACAGACTATCACACACTCAGTCACACCTCTGCCTTACGCCATAGGGTAAAATAACGTCAGAGCAGCGTGTGACGTCTTTGCAGGCTCACAGCAGAAAAATACGACGCTGTTTTAAGACATGATGACATGGAAGCACCACGGTTCTGTGGGGGCTGAACTGTCCCTCCAAAACACTGGTCCATATCCCTTGTGTGCTTCCTCGGCTGCAACCCGACCTCTAGCCTTTTAGGAACCAGCGAGGGCGGGACTGGGCAGGACAAGTAGGGTTGGGATGGGCGGAACCGACCGCCTCGGGGCGGGATTATGACCGCCCCATATCCCACACTGCCCCGCGACCGGAAGAGGAAACCGTAGTTTCCTGAACCTCCCCCAGACACTTGGGGGTGTCCGTCTGTGGTGCTGGTGGTTGTTTAGTGTGTTTGTTTGTTATGGCCGCTGCCGTCGCTATGGAGACAGGTGAGTAGAGCGCTGAGACTCCGATCTTTGAACCAAGGTGCTAGCCTCGGCTTGTATCTCTTCTCCTGCCTCCCAAGGGCTTCCTATCAGGCAGAACCCTTCGCAGATTTAGAATTCGGACCCGGAGAGGGTTAGGCTTTTTTAGCGTCTGGAGGGGCGAAGACAGTTTTGCCTTTTTCACAATTTGATTTGGTCGAACATGCTTTTTTCTAGTACTGTGCAAACATCGACCCCAATGACTGACTCCCCGCTGTAGGCTAGACTACTCACATCTTAAATTTTCCTTTTATTGGTTTTCTACTTCTTGCTTGAGCTTGAATGTTTAAAATATTGCAGATAAGCCTGTGTATTTTTCTATTAATGCCTCTCACGATTTTTTTTAATGGTTTTTTGTTTTGCAGTTGTAGGGAAGCGCTTTACCATTGAGGTAAGCCCCAGTCCTTTATGAGACAGGGTCTCTTTAAATTGCCCAAGCTGGTCCTGGCTTCGAATTTAGGGTCCTCTTAACTCGGCTTCCGGAGTAGGTGGGATTACAAATGTGTGCCACCGTGCCTGTCTTGTCACGATCTCCTATACTTTAGTTTTTTTTTTTTTCACTCAGTTTTTTTCCTGATTGACTTAGCATTTAGTTTTTGCCTAATTTAATCACTGTGAGCAAATGTGGTTATAAAATATTAAAATCAGGGAAGGCTGAGTTACTACAGCCTACGTCCGTGATCACTGTTAACCGTACAGTGGCCCACAAGTCGTTGGTATCCTGCCCATTTGTTTTCCTGTTTGTTTTATTATGACTTCTCTTTATCTTTAGAGATATCCCTAACATTCCTTTTAATCAGGGCTTTGTTTTTTTCAGCTCTCTAAGGAAGATTTCTCCTTTTTTAGTTTAGGAAGTCCACCACATGCTTTTCTAGAAGAGTAAATCTCAGCATTATTCAGGTTCCTTTTTAACAAAAATCCTACATATACTAACCTTTATTTTGAATAATTTTTGCTATCTTCTCTCCTAGATGATGCTGGAAATCGACTTCGGTTTCAGTTGGAGTTGGAATTTGTTCAGTGTTTAGCCAACCCAAATTACCTTAATTGTAAGTTGTTGAGCAGCTCATTGAGTGGCTAGCTGTTACTGATTGCTGACAAAAGAGATGCAATGCATAATAGCACTTACCTTTATACATTTTCAATTGAATGGGATTTTACTTATGCTGGCTTGTAGATATATTTGAGCAAACCAAGACATCTGTTTTGAATTTGAATTCATTGTATGTTGGCAGTGAAGATGTTAAATAGATTCTTTATGTTAGGGGTATAAATCAGTAGTCCAAGGATTGGTTTGACCTACAGTTTTTTTTAATGTCTTTCAGTTCTTGCCCAAAGAGGTTACTTCAAAGACAAAGCTTTTGTTAATTATCTTAAGTACTTGCTTTACTGGAAAGAACCAGAATATGCCAAGTATCTAAAGTAAGTTTACTTTTTATAATCCTAAATATGTATACTTTATTAGAATCCAAAGCACTGATACTTAGCAGACTTAGTTTCACACTGGAAAAATATATTTTAAATCTCTTCCCTTCTAGTGATTACCACTTAATATGACGCTTTTATCTCTGTCTTGGAGGAGATTGGTCTCTTTTAGCGTTTGGAGGGGTGGAGACAGTTTTGCCCTTTTCAGAATTTGGTTTGCTCAAACGTTATTTCTTCTAACATACTGTTCAAACATTGACCACAAACCCATGTTTTTTGCTTCCATTTTCACTCTGCTCCCCTCAAATCAATCAAAGCAAATCAGTACCCTACACAAAAGCCGACTTAGTCTCTCAGAAATGTAAATCCCAGAACATACTACTTTACTTAGATCTTTTCAGTAGCCTTCCATTAAAGAATGCTCAGAAAGTGGTATTTAAACAGGTGTTTTCTGAAGGAGTTAACCGTCTCTTTCCATTTTATTTTGTTTTTTGAGACATAAAACACTGCACTGTGGCTTGAGTTTTTGCTATGTATTCCAGGATGGCCTTGAACTCACTATGTAGCACAGGCTGGCCTTGAATGTGCAGCAATCCTCCTGCCTCAGCCTTCCAAATGCTGGGATTACAGGTGTGGGTCAGCTGAGATGTTACCTTTTCTTTAGGACCTCCTATGTGCCAAGCAGCGTGCTATGTGGTTCACATCCATTTACTGACTTTAAAGAGAAAACAAAACAAAAATACATACACACATATACCATTCAGGTTGTTCAACACTTTTAAGATTTAACTAAATGGTAAGAAACATTATATATCCACAATCTGATTCCAGTTTCATGCTCCCCAAAAACCTCAAAACCTCAAATTCACACCTCTGTTTTGCTTAGATAATCAAAAAGCAATAGTGAAACTTTAAAAAAGAAAAAAGAAAAAGTTTTAGAGGAAAATGTTTCAGATTGTTCAAATCACTTTTCTGAACTGAGCTGATATCCACGTGCTGTCTGTAGGACTTTTTGCACTCTGTTTCTCTATGCAACTACTGACTTAATAACAAAACAACATTTTAAAAAAATGAGATTATAATATTTTATATATAAAGATTTGAACTCCAGTGTTGCAAGCCTTAGCCACCTTAGGTTCACTGTCGCGCAGGGTTGCTGAGAGGTGGTCATGTACACTGTGGCTGGTGGTTTCCTGTGAGCATGATCCTCCATCAGGGATAGCTGACCGCACTGTTGGTCAGATGTTAGAAAGTTCTTTCTTACATTGTGATAGTACCTTCTTGTAGCTTTAACCTGTTCCTATTTTCATTTTTGGATTCATCTAGAACCAGCCTATTCCTTTTTGGAGACAACAGTTGTATAGACACTTAAATTCAAAAAGCTGGATGTGGTGGCACACGTGTGTAATCCCAGCACTCTGGGATGCTTAGGCAAGGAGGATCACAAGTTTGAGTTCAGCCTGGACAACTTAATGAGACGCTGTCTCAAAATCAGAAAAGTCTGGGATGTAGTCTAGTGTAAAGGCCCAGGGTTTAATGTTCTGTACCACCAAAAAAAAAAAAAAAAGTTTCAGATTAACCTGTTGGGTGTTGGGGTGTTTCATCTCATCTGCACAAAGTTTTAGACTTTTAAAAAATAGCTGCCAACATTTAAAGATGTAAGGCTTTATATAACAATTCAGATTTCTAGCTACTCTTTAAAAATCAGGAGAAACTAGTAACACCAGGTCTTCATTTTCCCAAATCATTAACTGGCTGGAGCTGAGGGCACCTGCCTCTTGTGAACATTATCTACCAGTTGGTCTTCTCCATTGAGAACTAGTAATTGCAATAGTAACATCTCTTTCTTAACTTATTTAGCCTAAGTGTTATGATTTCCAGACTTTGCCCACGAATTCAGGCACTTTCCTTTGGATACTTGGCACTTGCGCCTTAGAACATCCAACCAAAAACTAAACATGGGCTTCAGATGTGGTCATGGTACGGTTGACCAAATGGTATTTCTTTACTTCATATGGATGTTACATTTCTAATAATTCAGTTTAGGTTGGTGTTATTTATGCATTTATTTTGATCTAGGAAGGGTAGGGGAACCCACTCTTGGTTTGCTGGGAGCTTTGTGTCAACTAAAATCCTTTATTTTCGTCAGCGTTGTCATTTCACTTCTCCATTTATGTATCTTGTTTCTTTAAAAACAAAAATCTTTATGCAAGACTTTTTGTACTTCTTCTATTTCATCTTGTTAACTTGTAGCTTATGAGAGAATATTGTAGCCTTTCAGAGAATATTTATAATTTCTAATTCTGTCATCTAATGTATTCTGAATATTATATTCAAGTTTGATATGATAAATGATCACTGCTCATCTAAATTCCAGTTATTGACTAAATGCTAGTTGAGACCGTTCTCTTGGTTTTCACATTTTTACAGGTAAAGAAACTTAACTTAGAGGTTAAGTATCCTTCTCAAGACCACCCAGCTGGTACTTGGATCTAATCTTTTTAATTGCTGTTGCTATCATGAAAAGGATTTAGTCAGGGCAGTATGAATAGAGCATTCTAGGTTAGGTTACCAACAATTACAGGCCACTGTTTGTTTTCAGAGTGTAAAAAGCAAACCTTAGGACAGCGTAGTATCAGCCCTAACATGGCTTTCTATTTAATGTCTTGAGACCTGAAGTGTTGGTATCATCTGGGAGCTTGTGAGACATACAAAGCTCAGTCCACATCTTAGACCTACTGAAACTGAGTCTACATCATGTGCATATTACAGTTTAAGAAAGACTGCTGTGGTTCATAGACTATTTCCCATACTTCAGTTGGTTTCATATCACTTTTGCTGTTCTGGCTCTCTGTATTCCCTGTATGATTTTATTTTCAGTTAACTTAAATTTTACTCTTCAATTTGAAATAATTGCACTTACAAATAGCTGGAAGAATAAAGGGAATTTCTTGTATTCTTCACGCAGATATTCTAAATGATAACATCTTATATAACCACAGTACAGTGATCAAAACCAGAATATTAACGTTAATCTTACTATGTAATCCCATTCAGATTTTGCCAGTTGTCCCAGTGGTCTGTATGTAGTAATCTTCAGTCTAGTCTCATGGTATGTTGCATTTTGTTATGTCTTCTTAGTCTCCTTTAATCTGTGTTCCTTGGTGTTTTGATTTTTTTTTTAATCCTCTTGTTCATAAGTGCTGTGTTCTTGGTATACCCTATTGGTGATGTTAATTTTGATCACTTGTTCAATATGGTGCCATTTCGGTTTCTCCATATCAAGTTATTTTCCTGTGTATAAGTGTTTCATGGGAAAATACTTTGAGACCGTCTAAATATTACATAAACTTTTTGCCCACTAATTTTAGCCTTACCGAAGATGTTTGCATGGAACAATTTTTACTGTGAGATTTTCTAATTCCATCATTTTGCATTTATTAGTTGAGATATTACTGTAAGGAAGAACATTCCCTTGTTACTTATTTATTAAAAACATTTACATCCATATGGACTTTTGGATTATTTTTATTCTGTGGACTGCAATTGTTTTTTCTTGCTTAAATTTTTCTAGACTGGGAGCACCTCCAAATTAGCTCCTGAGTACTTTTGACATATCCCTTTTTATATTTAGTACTACATAATGTTCCAGGTTCATCTTGTGCTTTCCTGACCCTAGCCCTGGAATTAGCCATTTCTCCAAAATACCCTGGAAAATGTTATTTGAAAACCATGAATGGACAATAGGTATGGTCATTGGTACCTCAGAATCATTGCTTCTAGGCCCTTTTACCATATAAATTAGGAACTTTGTTTGTATATATGTATTTATATATGTACACATACACATCTATGTCTTCTCCTATGTGTATTAAAACCCGTAAGTGCGTATTGACTGACATTTTCAATTCCAGTCTAGTAATATGAGATTCACTCTAGCCTTTCTCCTTTCCTTATCTTTAACTCCTTTTCTGATAGCCCAAAATTTGGCCCTCTTTATCTACTTAAAGTATACTTATTTGCTCAGTCTTAGAGTGTACATAAAGTAATTTCAAATTGCCATAATCCCTGTGGAAAACTAGAGCACAGTATTTGGATTTTTTCTTTTTGAAGTTAATTCACTTTTAAACTTTGTTTTTATCCGTAATGATAGAAAACCAATAGTTATCAGTTATGTACATATTAAAGTGATTCTCACCTTAGAAACTGCCAGAATGCAATGTTACCATTATCTCCAAATTTTGATTCTGCTTACCAGTTATTTTGTTCTGTAGTCTTGAACAAATTGTTCTTTTTTAATTTAAATTTTCCCATTTTTGAAAGTTTTGCTTAATGACTTTTGGTGACTAGCTTTTCTGCAGAAACAGAAAAAAACTATGCTCAATACACTGAATTAATGTTAATAGAAATTGTAGGCTAAAGATAATTTTAAGTAACCAAATTAAAACTTGGCATTATTGACTTAAATTATGTTGATCATTAACCTATAAACTTAAACCCAGGTACCCTCAGTGTTTACATATGTTAGAACTACTCCAATACGAACACTTCCGAAAGGAGCTGGTGAACGCTCAGTGTGCGAAATTCATTGATGAACAGCAGATTCTACATTGGCAGCACTATTCCCGGAAGCGGATGCGTCTTCAACAAGCCCTGGCAGAACAGCAACAGCAAAATAACACATCAGGAAAATGAACAGCTGGAAACAGCTCAGGGTCTTAAGACATGTATATAATGTTTTTCATTGTACAGTGAAGATAAAGTAAGACTCCTCTTCCTGCCTACCTTTATTGTAGTAGCACCTGGAACCTTTAATGTGCTTTTTTAATACAGTTTTTTTATTGTTAATAGATTGTTAAACCAGAATTATTCTACTTTGATTACCTTGTGAATTTCTAAGTTTTTATTAGCATTAACAATCAACAGGAAAGAATGGACAGGTTAGGTCCTTTAGATCTGTTTAAGGAGGGGGGGCATGGGAGAAGGGAGGGCCAGCAAGTATACGAAACTCTTAAGTATGGTTTTTTGACACACAGTAGTGCCTTGGGCAAGTCTGTCTTTGGAACTTTGTTTTATCTACAGAATGAAAGGATTGGAGTCAAGGAGTCAGAGCAGGAACTGCAGTATATAAAGGTTCTTATTCTGCAGGAGAGGACATACCTGTATTACCCCTGTTTTGCAAGATAGCTTTAAGATAGAATCATTGGTATGTCACTGAACTAGTGATGGAGAGAAGATTGGTGGTAAACTACTAAATCGATTTGACCTTAAATTAGGACAAAGATGAAGGACCTCACATGCTTCTGCTTAATAGAGAAAGTTAACATTTATTTGGCCAGTACCAAAAGCCAGGTGCTACATTAAATGCTTCCAATGCATGCTCATGTTAGTCACAGGATTATCCTTTTTTGTAAAAGAGGAAATTTGGATTAAGTAAGTTACTTGTGGTTACACATCTAGTAAGTGGTAGAATCAATGTGACTGACTCACAAGCTGAAATTCTTCCCACCACTAGGTTCCCACTACCTAGTCTCCAGTTTCTTGTCCCCTGCCTCATCCCAAACGAAGCACAGACAGCTGTAAAATCTGCTTGATTTAAGCAGATTGCATTAGATATGCTATAATTCCTCTCAGTAGTTTGGTTAAATTCTACATTCCAAAGCCAAGGAAAGGTTTTTAGGACTATCAGTTCCTTTGCAAATTCATGGACTTTAAGATAAAAGATCCTTAGCCCTTCAGAGATTTGGGATAGATAGGCTGCCCAGGCATGATTGGGAACTTTAATTATTTGTCACCTCCAGTTTGTTCCTTTGAACCATTACTGCCACTGCTGAAAACTTATTTTACTCATATCTTTGAAATACTGTATGTTACAAGCCAGATGAAGGTTTGTATTTTGATAGCATTACTACTTAGACATACATTGATTTTAACACCATTTATTGCTAACATGAATTCAAATCAAGTATGCAATTCTTTTATACTGTAGCAAACCAGGAAATCAAGACACAAGTGCCATCATCAAATCTTAATCTTCAGAGAACATCATCTCCACAAGGTTGTCTTCAAGACACTCAGATTCGACCAGTTTTTGAGGCTGTAAGAAAAGAACAGTCAAGTCTTTACCACCGTTATGAAATGTTAATAGGAGTGGTGTCAGTTCTGCTTTGATGACACTAATCTTTGAACACAGAAATTATGCCATTCAGAAACTATCAACTAGTTATAACAAGTTTTACGAAACAGTTATTTGCCTTAAAATGAATCATTAAAGTACTTGGCTCAAGGGCCTTAAGTCCCAAATACTAGGAAGCTCAGACTGAAACGGATCAACAAGCCCAGTGCCATCCCTTTTCCATCAACTAGTATTCCAAGGGGGCATGACTGAAATAGAAGAAATACCTTTTCAACCTGAATAATGGTTTAAGTAGAAAACTATTCATGCAAGTGCTTTAAGGAATTTGAGTCAAGCTACTTTCTCAGTGTGGAATTGTTAGTGTCTTAAAAACATGAAAAAGACCTATTTGCATTATTCATAGTTTACTGAGATTGTTCAGGGGAATGGACAGCCAAGTTGTATGTTTTCTTTTGTGTGTGTTTTTTTTTCTTTTTATTGAGTTTATTGGTACAATCTAGGTATACAATAGTTACATTCATCATTGGGATTCTGTACCTTTACATAATAGGTCTTGATTCTCATTTTTTCCCCTTGTCCCTACCCTCCCTTCATCCCCTCCTCGCCTCCCCATTTACAACAAGTTGTATGTTTTTAATGCACCGTGAAAGGCAGTGTGATACTTGAAATGTTAAGATCCTTTCAAAGATGATTCTAGAACAACTTTCAGAGTGAATTATAGTCCCGACATGAAGATACTCACCGTTCCGTATTTCAGGAGTGTAGGCACCGCAGTTATTTTCAGTTTCTTTCTGAAATCATTATTTGGATCTTTCCAACTATTCCCAAAGGAAAAAGTGATCAAGAAAATTCTTGGTTTATTACAGTTTGCTTAGTATCTCATATGTTCCTACATTTAGTGTTTTGGTAATTATTGTTTTTGTGAACATTTAAAAGACCTTGAAGACTTTAACTATACCCTCTGCAGAATTTTTGATTAAACTGTGACTAAGATATAAAATAAAAGTAAACAGTTAAGTTTTGAGCTTAACACTAGGCCAAATTTTTAAAATTACTCTCAATTCAAGTAGCTGAACATTCACATTGTAAATTTCAATGTCAGAGGTTCTAATTTTTAAATTATTAGACTTTACCTTAAAACAGAACCTGAGTAAATCTCTAAGGCCTTTTCCACCTAAGTTTGCATGAGTCTAGCGCATGTCTGAAATATAACACATATTCCACTTACTACGATTTTTCTCCTACTTGGCAGTAGATGAACACGCATCCTTCACTAACATGCTTCAGCCCTGCTCGAACGACTGGTTCAGCTGTTTAAAAATTAATATAATTACACATCAATTCTACCATCCCCTTTTCTCTACCCCAGGACATAGTAAGTACTCAGACTTTAACCTGCAGTTAGACTTTGAGTTAGTCCAGAAGTTAACAGAAGACAGGTGTTCTCTTCGGGTCTTAGAGTCTCTTTAAGAGTAAAGACCCAGTCCAAATCCTGACTGCCCTCATGCCACAATCGCAGAACAATGGAAGGCGTATTTGCTGAGTAAAATAAGACCAACTCGTATCCTGTAAGACACGACTTTGGGGACGTGAAGAAGTTTTAAAGAACTGGATTACAAGATCATCTGGATCGGATGGTAGAAGCGCAGCACCTCGGCAGAGAGAGCAGGGAATTAACAGGAAGTGTGGGCCCACATACTCTGTGGATCTCAGGGACCAAGCCGCCCTCTCTGCTCCTGCATCCCGCGCCACAGACTCCGTTTTCCTACCACTTTTGGGCAGTAGCCTCTGAGTCCTGGCCTCACCTTGCACACAGTCAGGACACCAGCTTTTTCCTTCAGCATCCTTAGAACCGCTGAAGTAGGCGAAAATGGTCTTGCCCTGGTGCTGCTCCACAGCCCGGTTGAATTCCTCGAAGCCGGACACGCTCACCTCTTCGTAGGCAGCCATAGGGACAGCACACCACTTAGAAGAGGAAGAGCCCTTAGGTCCCGCTGCTAGGGGGCGGGGCCCATGTGGGTGTGGGAGAAGCCATTTCCGGAGGGTGGTGGTAGGGCGGGGTTCCGGGAGCCGGTGCTACGGAAGCTTGTGCAGTTCATAATTCATCTTCCTTGTCTTCCTGCTCCCGTTTTTCAGCTCTTTCAGGGCAAACTTTCCGACGTAAATCAAGCTTGTAAGCCCCACTCTTGGTTCTGGTTTCAGCCCCAGGGATACTGACTGCAAAACTTGCTGTTATGCGACACCTGTACTCTCAAAATGCTCAGGAACCTTAACTGCTCCCAATCCACTTCGCGCCTGTTGCTATGACGACTGGGCGAGTGGCCGGAAGTGAGGCCTACTTCGAGGGCCCCCCGCCTTCAGGTGGCCGTGCCTCACCCGGGGCAGGTGGGCTTGGGCGTGGGCTGGGGGGATTCTGGGAAGCAGCGTTAGGCGTCATGAACCTGGGGGAGAGGAGACCTTGAACCAGGCAGTCCTTGCTCCTCCGTTCCCCCAATTAATTACCTTTTCTCCTGTCTAGCTTTAGGGGGGCCCGGCATTGAGGGGGCGGGCGCCGGAGACTGGGCGGGGTAGGGTTGGGGTGAGGGGGCCGGGAAGGAGAGAAAGGCTGCGAGGGCGGGAGCTGAGTGTGTGAGTGCTTGCGTGGAGCAGCCCAGGGGGCCGGATGCTAAGACAGAAGGTGCCCCGGGGCTGTGTTGCCGAAGGGAATTGTCCTTGAGCTATGAGTAGGGCGACTGGCCCCGGGGCCTTATCCAGGCAGAGCCGGAGCGAGTTAGCGGCTAAGGTGCCTGGTCGCTGGGTAGGGCCCAGTCGGTCGGGGTGGCCGTGGGGAAGAAGATGGGGTACAGGGGCATCCCGAAGGTGTGGAGCTAGGCGCAGGGCGAGGGCTTCGATCAGGAAAACGCGCCGTAAGAGTGCAGAAAGGCTACAAGACTGTCCGCGACCATGGGGGAAGAGGCAGGCTGCGGAGACTGCCGACGCGGCTGGGGAGAACGAGACTTTGGGGACGTCTGGGGTTGTAGGCTCCATTGAGGCTGCAAGGGATCCCAAGGCTGTGTGGGTGAATGGGGCTGTGGGAGAACCTGAGGTGGTGGGGCCTGCTGGGTCTGTGTGGGTTACTAGATCTGAGGAAGAGGAGGCAGGCGATGGCAATCCCCAGGGCTGTGAAAGAAAAGGTCGCCCAGGGGCGATAGGGCATGAGAGCATTCTGGAACTGTGGTTGAAAGTACAGGCTATGAGGGCAGCTTCGGGATGTGGGGAAAGAAGTAGAGTGGAACTCCATCCTATGCCTGCAGAAGAAGGGCCAGTGGAAAGGGGCATCCCTGGCCGGGCCTCCTGGATAGAGACAAGCCGAGGCGGAATCACGGGACCATGGGTGAGAGGACAGGCTAGGGCATTTCCCCAGGTCTCAGGACTGTCCATACCCACGGGGTTAGGGCTAGGTTGTGAGACAGCCTCAGGCTCCTGTGGGCACAGACAGGCTGGGAACGTGCCTCCTCCTGTGGTTGCTCCTGGAGCTGTGGAAGTGTTAGGCAGTGCACTTAACTCAAGTCCGTGGGAAAGACCACAGGTTGTAGGGAAGCCTGAAGCTGTGGAGATGAAGATGGGCTGTGAGACTGCTCCAGATCAGTTGGGGAGAGGACAGTCAGTGCAAGTTCCTGGAGCTGCGGGGCAAGAGGCCTTCTATGGTCCTACCCCAGGCTTATGGAGGAGGGGGCAGGCTGCAGAGAACCTTGATGCTGTGATGGTACCCAGAGCTGTGGTGGAGGAAACTGCATCTGTGTGTGCCCCAGACATGTGGCAGAGGAGACAAGAGGTAGAAGGTATAAGCTCTGAAGGTCTCCCTGGCGTGCGGGGCACAGGACAGCTTGTAGGGGTGCCTTGTGCTACTACTAAAGAGGAAACTAGATGTGGTGATCTAGGATTCAGGGAAAAAGGACAAGATATGTGTGTAGAGATGGGTTCTGGCGGTGACCCAGTGTTGTGGGCAGCTGCACAGTCTGTAGAGCCATCTGGTCCTGGGGAGCAGGAGGCAAGTTCTCAGCAGGTACCCCAGGGCCTGTGGGGTGTAGAACAGGCCATGGAGATACCCAGGTCTCTGGGGAAGGAGACAGACTATATGAATGTTCCCGGGCTGTGGGGAACAGGACAGCTGCCAGGGGTGTCCCAGGCTGTAGTGGTACCTGAAACCAGGGGTGAAGGTACAAGCTATGGTGGTGTCCCAGACCTGTGGGAGAGGCAACAGGTTCTGAGAACTCCTCTGGCTGAGGCGGTGGAAGAGCCACACAGTGCGAATGTCCTGAGCCTGTGGGAAAGGAGGCAGGCCATGGGGGAGCAGGAATCTCTGGTGCCTGGAGCTTTAGGGGCAGCTGGGCCTATGGATGAAGAGGCAGGCTATGGGGTTGTCTCATGTCTGTGTGAGAGAAGGCGGGCCCTTGGAGTGTCTGAGGCAGTGGGGATGCTCAAGGCAGCAGATGTGGCCAGGCACAGGTCTTCCCCAGCAAGAGTACCCACAGCTCTGGGTGCACCTAGATCTGGAAGGGTGCCTGCCGCTGTGTGGGTGTCTGGCCCCATGTGTCAGGAGAGCAGCTCTAGAGATGTTTTGAACCCGTGGGAAAGAGCTCATGGTGTCAGAGTACCTGGGGATTCAGGGGGTGTCATGGCTTCTGAGGAGCTGTGGTCTGTGGGAGAGGATAATGATTCTGGAGCTTTCCCAGGTCCCTGGGGAAGGAGACAAGCTCTCAGGGTTCCAGCAACTCTTGAGGCACCTGGTCCTATGGAAGTAGCAAGTGACTCTGGGGATTTCTCAGGCTCGCCAGAAAGGAGACACGTTGTAAGAATACCTGTGACTGTGGGGGTATTCCCAGCTGGTGGGAGACGTGTGGTTCCCAGGACACCTAGGCCTGGGTGGGAAGAAACTGGATCTGGAAGTGGCTCAGACTTGTGTGGGGAGAGACAGGCAGACACCAAGAGTTCCACAAGGATGGGGGTGTCCGCTTCCAGGATGCTTGGGCCCGAAGGGGAGAGGACTGGTTCTGGGTACATGTCAGCCTTGTCAGGAAGCAGGCAGACTACAGGGATATCTGTGGCTGTGGGACAGTCTGAGCCCATGGTGGAGGAGACACTCTCTGAGGGTCTCTTGGGTTTATCAGGAAAAAGGCAGATTGCTGGGATGCCTGTGGCTGCTAGACTTTCCATGGCCCCAGGAGTGCCCACAGCTTCTAGGATCCATAGGCCCCAGATGGTGAGGGAGAGCACCTTTGGGGATGGCCCAGGCACATTGAGAGGGAGACAAGTCACTGAGGCTCCCGCTGTTGCCAAGGATCCTGGATCTGTGGAGTGGGAGACAGGCTCCGAAGATGTCTCAGGCCTATGGAGAAGGAGGCACGATGGACCCTTCCCCGAGGCTTCAAGAGTGCCAGTGCCACTGGGGAGGGTTGAAGCTTTAGGAATTCCTGTTGTAGGGTGTGTGCCTGCTTCAGTGGGGGTGACTGGGTCTTCAGGAGAAGAAGGAGATATGGGTATCTCAGGCCTGAGCACAGTGAGCAGACAGTACACAGAGAGAGCTGAGCCTTCAGGGGAGCAGACAGGAGGTAAGGGTGTCCTGGGAATGACAGGAAGTGGCCAGGCCATGGGGGTGTCTTACACCTCTGGGCGTGGTACCAGATTCTGGAGCTGTCCAAGGTCTGTGGGGGAAGAAACAGCCCACGAGAATGTTCCCAGAGTGTCTGGGATAAGAGTGGCTGTGGTGGTGCCCCCAGTTTCAAGGGAGGAAATAGGCCCCGGTCATTTTAGAGATCACCCACAGCAGAGTGGGAGAAGACAGGTCAGAGAAGTGTCTGGAATTAGAGTGAGGGGGAATGATTTGACAGAGAATTGTGGGGGAGGGATGCATTGAGAGGGGTATAGGGAACAAGTTGGGGGTGTCCTGGGGGGCTCTGGGAGGGACATGTTGGGGTTATGTTTGTCCTGCACTGTGGGTGAAGGCACAGGTTATAGAGATGTCAAGATGGGAGGTACTTTGTGGAGAAGTCTCAGAATAGCTAGGGTGACAAACTGGGAGGTTTCTTGGAACAGTGGGGAAATGGACTAATTGCAAGGAGAAGGGGTGTTGTATAGGGGAACAGTTAGGGTGGGTGTCCCTGGACTCAGTGTGTGTGTGTGTGTGTGTGTGTGTGTGTGTGTGTGTGTGTATGTGTGAGTGATCTTTTGAGGTATTTAGGAAGTCTGGGGGTTGTGTAGTTTTTTTCCTATTGGAGAATGGACTTTTGGGCCTTTGGCATATGGAAGCATCCCCTGGGGGGAAGTACTGGCTACATAAAAGTTGAAGATGCTCTGTCCTGACATGACAGCCTGTTCTGCAGCTTCCGCCCCTGACCTGTGATGATGCCAAGCCAGTTGGGATTGGCCCCCTCTTGTGGCTCCTCCCATCTCCTTTTTGCATCTTGTCTCTGTAGCCTTAAGAGTAAGGAATATTGGACAGTTAACTTTAGGTTCCTACAGATAAATCTGTTTTTAAGCAATCCAGTCTGCAAACCTTGGATTTATTCATAGGCTTACGTTAGGGATATTTTTGAATTTCCCAGTTGATTCACTATAGGATTCTTTGAGAGAATAAATTCTCCAGTGTATTTAAAACTAGTCTGTCCTCAGAAAATCAGCTTAACTCTACAAATGTTGAGTTAAATTGTCTACTGTGATCAGAGTACTGTGTTGTGGGAAATTGAAGAGCAAGACAAGGCCCTTAACCCTCAAAGAACCTCGTCTCACTGGCAAGATGAGACATATTCCTGTGAAATAGGTAAATAACAGAAAGCTAACATTCAGATGAGCACCTAAATGGCAGGGCTGTCGGAGTGTATGGAGCCTTCAGAAAAGGAGAGACAATGATAAGGACATAGTCCCTTTCAGTTTACCAAATACTTTTAATATCTGTGACCTCATTTAGAGTATGTGTAAAGGGTGGGGGAAGATTTAGGGCCTTTTAGCTAGTTAACGGCAGACCCTGGTTTAAATCTGGCAATTCTGATTCCTTGGGTTTATTTAGAATCACGTAAGAGTTGTATCTGTTTGTGCCACTTGGTAGGATGAAATGTGCTGCTTTTTGGCTAGGAGCTAGTATTTATAATTGTAGAATGTATGTCCATAAACCTGCCCTGCTATTTAAACTGTTCATTTATAATAGAGTTTTCTATTAGGAATAATGTCTTACTGGAGACCCTTGAAAGTTGAAATTTGGAAGGCAAAGGGCCCAAGAGATTCTTAACAGAATTTCAAAAGTGTGGTTGTTTTTATAAGTGGAAGAAATTCATACCTGTCTCTCTAAGCAATCACTCTTAGCATGTAGTTGCTATGGATTACTTCTAGAATATTATAGGATCATGATAGTGTGTTTTTATCTGTTCTCCAGTTTTAAGACTGTTGATGTGAATATAGCTGTGTTTCATTTTAGGAATGGTGCCAGTGAATACTTGCTTGATGACGAGGTCTTCACTGCTTTTCTACACTGTCTGATATGATGGGACCAAGTCAACCAGCTTCCACCTGTGTTCACCTGACGTCCTGTACCCAAGTAGATGGGACAAGTGACCCCAGGAAACTTCAGACCCAGGTAGTTTTTTTTTTTTTCAGATGTTTATTATGAAATATTTCAAACACAAAGAAAAATTGAAAGAAAAGCACATCGAACATTTTTGAAACCATCCTCTGCATTCAACAGTTGTTAAGCTAGTCAAAGTAGTACATGCCTATATCCCAGCAAGCAGGAGGCTGAGACAGGAGGATTCCCATAAGTTTGAGGCTGAGGCTGGCCTGGGTTACATAGTGAGTTCAAGGCCAGCCGGGACTACATAGTTGAGACCCTGTCTCCAAAACTAAAAGACCAAAAAAGTTAAATTCAGCAGTTGTTAGCAATTTGTGCTATTTTCCTATCTTCCATCCATCTCTAAAATTTTGGGTGAAGCATACCAAAGTAAGTAGCATATCTTATGACACTGTTTTTTATTTTTTGGTACCAGGGATTGAACTCCAGACCTTGCCCTTGCGAGGCTTGTGGCAGCACCACTGAGCTAAATCCCCAGCCCACCAACTTTGTTTTTAAATATTTAAGAATATTTCTAAAAACCTATACCATTATCACCCTAAGCAAATGAACAGAAAATAATTCTCCAAAATTATCTAGTAGCCAGTTTTTATTCAGTTTACTCAGTTGTCCCCAGAATGTCTTTCCCTTTAACATATTATGAAAACCTTCAAATATACAGCAAAGTTGAATGTCACAGTGAGCACCTAGAGTCCATTAATGTTTCACTATATGTGAAACATTGTCTATCCCTCCAAGACATTGATCCAGCCCTCCAAGAGATTCATTCATCAAGCCATTCTTTTTGACACATTTCAAAGTCAGTTGTAGATGTGAGTACCCTACTTGTATATTGTATATTGTTTTGTTTTGTTTTTTGGTACCAGGGATTGAACTTGGGTCCTTACACTTGCAAGGCAGGCTCCAGAACCACTGAGCCTAATCCCTGGCCCTGCATTTATATTATATATTTTTATTCATTCTTTGTTAGCCAGATTTTTTCTTGTAAATTTTACATTAAAAATGAGTACATTAAACCAGTGTGGTGGTGCATGCTGTAATCCCAGCACTTGGGAGGCTGAGGCAGGAGGATCGCTGTGAGTTCAAGACCAGCCTGGGCTACATAGTGAGTTCCAGGTCAGTCTCAACTACATAGTGAGATCCTGTCTCAAATAAAAAAAAAAAAAAAAAAAAAAGTACATTGAAATATGTACGTGTTGTCATATTTACTGAGTTTTGATAAATACATGCACATGTCTAACCCATACCTCTGTGAAAATACAGATCACTTATATGTTACCGTAGAAAGTTCTCAAATGCTCCTTCCTAAACAATCCCTACTCCTACCCTCTAGATTAAACCATTATTTTGATTTTTTTTCCATCATGAATTAATTTTGCCTATTCTAGAACCTCATATAAATGAGAACATGTAATACAAATTATTTTGTGAGGTTTCTTTTACTAGGTATAAAAATTGTTTTTTGGATCAGGGATTTAGCTCAGTGCTTCTGCCTCCTGCCTTGCAAGCGCAAGGTCCCGAGTTTGATCTCCAGTACCAAAAACAAACTTGTTTTTCTTTCTTTTTTTAGGCAGGGTCTCACTATGTAGTTCAGGCTGGCTTTAAACTCACTATGTAGCCTCGGCTGGCCTTGAACTCAGGGCAATCCTCTTGCCTCAGCTTCCTGAGTGCTGGGATTACAGGCTTGCACTACCATACCCAGCTAGGCATAAAGATTTTGAGATTCATCTCAATATGTTGCAAGTATATTGCATTATCAGTTTGTTTCTTTTTAGTCCTTTTTACTAATTCTATAGTGTGAGTGTATCAGTTTGTTCATCCATTTGTTAACTGATGGACACCTGGGCCATTTCCAGTTTGGGATTATTATATGTATAATGCTACAGAGGATATTCTTGTACAGATCTTTCCTTATGTGTGGCACTAGGGATTGAACCTAGACTTCCTGCATACTGGGCGAGCAAGCACTCTACCACTGAACTACAGCCTCAGTCCTGTATATTTTTTTATTTTGAGACAGGGTCTGCCTAAATTGCCCAGGCTGGTGTCAAACTTGCAATTTTCCTGCCTCTGCCTTTCAAGCAGCTTTTATAACAAGATGCACCATCACATTTGGCTTCTACAGATTTTTTAATGAACATGTTTCCGTTTCTCTTGGATATAATAACCTAAAAGTGAAGTTAACTGGGTAATGGGGTAGATGTATCTTTAGTTTTATGATAAACAATTGAACCTTTTTACAGAGTGGTGGCACCATTTCACTTTCCTACTGAAACCATGTATGAGAGCTCCAGTTGCTCCATATATCTTTGTCAATATTGCTGTTATCTATTTAATTGCAGCCATTCTGGTGGTTATGTAGTAATAACTCATTGTTTACAAAGAAAAATTTTTAATGCTTACATAATTTCTGATTGACAGGAGATTTTTCAAGAATAATACACAGAATTTCGTAGACATTTTTTTCCTAGATTCTCCAAATACTAGAATTTTATAATATATTTCCTCTCTCTGCATACATTATTTTCTGAATCATTTAAGAGTACATTTTAGACAGGCTACTCTTTTGTCCCTGAGTACTTATGCCTTTCCTAAAAGCAAGGGATTCTCTTGCTATAATTATCAAAATCAGGAAATTAACATTAATATATACTATTACATAAGCTACAGACTTGTATTGAGATTTTGTTAGCTGTGGCAGTAATATCCTTTAGAACAAAAGAAAATCCAAGATGATGAGTGGTAATCAGTACTCCTGACTCTGGTTTCTTTCAGTGTGATTTCTGAGCCAGTTTTTATGTTGTATAACATTGGCATTTTTGAAGATTACCAGCCAGTTTATTTGAGGATTTTCTATCAGTTTTGGTTTGTCTGTTGTCTTCTTATAATTATATTCAGATTATGTACTTTTGGCAAGAAAACTACCAACATGATGCTAATAAGTACTTGTATTGTGCATTCTGCGGTGCATTGTATCAGGAAGTATATTGTATCAGTTGCTGTCAGTGTTGACTTTAATCATTTTATTAAGGCAGTATCTGCCAGGTTTTTCCATTATAAAGTTACTCTTTTACCTTTTGTAAGTAGAAGTATCTGCCTTTGAGACTATGTTAATATTTTCTTTCTCATTAAACTTTGACTTATTAGTTTTAGCATTCATTGATGATTCTTTGACTGGGTTGGTTTATTGTGATTGTTGGCAAATGGTGATTTCCAATTTCTATTTTCTACATTTATTTGTTGGCTTACTGCTATAAAGAACATTCCATTTTTATGCTGGGGATTTAGCGCGGTGGTTCTGCTGCCTGCCTTGCAAGTGCAATAGACCAGAGTTCAATCCCCGGTACCAAAAACAAAACAAAAAGAACATTCATTTTCTTCTTATTTATTTCACTGCAGATGCTTAGATTTTTCTTTACTACATAGTTTATAATTCTTTATTATTATTTATTTTGATGTTCAAATGGTCTCTGATTTGGCCAGTGAGAGCCACTTCACACTGCTCCCAGTGCCTCTGGCTTAATTCCATCAATCTTTTATATCACTTTATGGTATAAAAATGCACTCCAGTTGGTTTTTCCCCCCTATGGCAGCCCTGAAATTAGCCATTTATTTAAGGAAACTTTGTCCCTTTAGTAGAGAATAGAATTTAAAAATCCATACTAGGACTAGATGTATTTATTAATACTGGAGTGTCATTGGGCCTTTTAGAGGACAAATGGCAAATGGAGTTTTACACTTGTATAATATTCATATGCAGATCTATATTTATACATCTTTGTCTTTCTTGTCATCTTTCTCTTTCTCATTCCCATTTTCTGTCCTACCTTTTCTTTCTTTTTCTTTTTTGAGAGAGGGTCTGCTATTTAGTTTAGACTAGTCTTGAACTTACTTTGTAGCCCAAGCTGGCCTTGAGTTCACAGCAATCCTCCTGCCTCAGCCTCCTGAGTATGTGCTGGGATATAGGCATGTGTCACCACACTGAGCTACATTTTTCCTTTCTAAGTATCTGTTTGCTTTCCTCTCTATAAGAAAATTCATGAGTTCACACAGATCTGTCCAATTCTAATCCAGTATTTCGTATTCAAAACTCCCTTGTTCTAAAGTGTGAAACTTGGCTCCCATTATCCACAATATATTTATTTAATTGCTCAATCCTAGAGTGTAAAAAAGTAATTTCAGAATTGCAATGCATTCCTCTGGAAAAAAAAAAAGAAGACTCTAAATAGAGTCCAGTATTTGCTTAGAGTACTTTTTGTTTGTAGCCCAATGGCATATAGTCCAAATGTTATTTTCAAAAGTTTTTTTGTTTTGTTTTGTTTGTTTTTTTGTACCCACAATTGAACTCAGGGCCTTGAGCTTGCCAGGCAGCTGTGACACTGCTGAGCTATATCTCTGGCCCCTGTGTTCAAAAGTTTATTGGAGTTAACTTTTTTTTTTTCACCTTGATATGTTAGTGGTTCATTTGAAATTCAGTCTGGTTTATTGCTTTCTGTTTGTATTTATTTTTAGGTTTTTCTTCAGTTCTTACGGATTTTGTTTATATTCTTCCTTCCTTTTTCACTTCATTTTTTTCTTCCCTTTAAGTATCTCATGTATATGTGAAATACTAACATGGATTCAAATATATGTGTACAAAAAATATATTCAGAAAAATGTTATCTACCCCATTCCTTCTATCCTTTCCACCCAGTTCTCACTCACATTTTGTAGATAACTGATCTCACAGTCTCAATTCTTTTATTTCCTGTGTTTTTGTTTTGCACAAATGATCAGATACATGTATATTTTATCTCATGTCTCCTTTTTTCCTTACATGTATTTGTAACATACTACAGATATTTTTGTATTTCATTGTTTTATTTGAACAGCATATCCAAGAAAGTTCTTAAGTTTATAGAGATGTTCTTTGAGAGCTTCCTCATTTTTTTCCATTGTAATTATAACTTCATTTTGTTGCTATACTATAGTTTACTTAGGAATTTATATGGGCATGTAGATTGATTCCAGTAAGTTCTAATTACAGTTAGTACAGCTATGAACGAGCTTGTGCATATGTATCAGTGGAGGTTTATCTGTAGGGTAAATTCTAGAAATGAGACTTCTAGGTCAAAGATAAATGGATGAATTCACCCAGACTCTCCTGAGTAAGAGATGCGACAGTTTGTCTTCTACTAGCACACGCCAACAGCATGTAATCATTAAACTTTTAATTTTTGCTGATCTTTCAGAAATACATAGTATTTCAGTGTATTTTAATTTGTATTTTATGAGGTTGAACAGTTTTTCATATATTTAAGGGCCATGTTTATATCTTTTTGGTAATTGTCTGCTGTGTGTTTTTCCCATTTTCTATTGAGTTTTATTTTTTCACCTCAATTTTTTTTTTTTTTTTTTTTTTTTTTTTAACCAGGAATTGTACTCAAGGCTTCTCACTGGCCAGACAGGCACTATGCCACTGAACTATATCCCAAGCCCTCTCACCTAAATTTTTAAAGATTTCTTCATGTATAGGAAGCCCTTTCAAAGAAGTCAGCAGTACTGCATAGCAAATATATTCTTTATTGTTCTTGTTTGCATCCTGTTATGTTTGTGGTGCTGGGGATTCAACCCAGGGCCTAGCACATGCTAAGCAAGTGCTCTACCACTAAGCTACATCCCCAGACCAGGAAGCCCTTTTGTTATGACTTAGATCTAAAATGTCTCCTAAAAGTTTTGTGTTCAGAGGTGGGGCTTTTAAAAGGTGATTGGATCATGAGGGCGATTCAGTCCTCATCACATTAGTCAGTTGATGAGTTCATAGTTGACTGTGCCATTTGGCTTGGGGTCTGATTGGAAGAGGAGGTGAGTCACTGGGGATGTGGCCTGAAAGAGGGTGTATTCTGGTTCCTGGCTCCTTTGTTCTCTCTTGCTTCCTGGCTGCCATGATGTGAGCAGCTTTCCCTTGTGGTGCCTTCCACCACGCTGTTCCTACTTTGGAGCCAGCTGACCATGGATTGAGCTTACTGGAAACTGAACCAAATAAACCTCTCCTTTAAGTTGTGGATATCAGGGCTGGGGATTTAGCTCAGTGGTTCTGCCACCTGCCTTGCAAGCACGATGACCCGAGTTTGATCCCCGGTACCAAAAACAAAAAAAAGCAAAAAACAATGTTAAGTTGTAGATATCAATATTTTGTCCTAGTGATGAGAAAGTGACTAAAACTCCTTTGTATTTACAAGTGCTTTTGTTTTGGTGTTTCAGCATTTTTTTTTTCCTTGCTTATTTAAACCAGATAGATTTTTAAATTTTGTTTTAATGTAGTCATCATCATTGCTCTTTTATTGAATATAAATTTTTGAGTAATACTTAAAAAGTCTTTCCCTGCATCCATATTTAAAAAGGAATTAATCTGTTTTTCTCCTAGTATTTTATACATTTCTGCCCTAGGACTTTTATGAAATTTCTAAGGTATTTTAGGTCATTATTATTATTATTATTTTTTTTTTTTGGGGGGCACCAGAGATCGAACTTGAGTCCTTGTGCTTGGAAGGCAGGTGCCAGAACCACTGAGCTAAATCCCTAACCCTATTTTAGGTTATTTTTAGGTTAAGAGGAAATGGTTTCCTCAAACAAGGCTATAGGTTTCAAGTACTATTCATCATCAGTCTTTGTACCCTTCAGGTTTTTTCACTGTTTAGAGAAGTTTTTTACTACATTTTTTTCCCCAGAGTACTTTCCTAATGTTTTGTTACAGTGGTTTATTTTAAATTGAATTTTCATTCACATTATTTTATAAACACATTTGTAGTGAGAGTTGAGCCATCTTCAAGATAAAACATCATGAGACAGAATTCACTGAGTTTGGAGATATGGATTGTCTTATTCTCTATCACTGGAAAAAGTGGAATAGTATAAATGTTTAATAATTAGATTATATTTAGGTTAAACATGAAGAGACTATTCTCTGGCTTTTGGAAAGTAACCATGAAAAATAATTTTTATAAACTATAGGAACATGGGGACATGCTTATGTTGAAGTGTAAAAAATAACAAAGCTTTTGTTATGAGGAAAACTGACAAATCTGCATAAATATGGGCAAGTGAATTTTTTAGAACAAGGTGCAGGTAGGTGCAGGATAAAAGATGTAGGAAGTATCATCAAATGGTTTCAATGTGGGATGGCTGTGTGCAGCAGTTTTTAGGAAAGCTCTAGTGGATGATATTGGCCACTTGCTAGACCCTGACACTTTGAAACTGGGCAGAAATCCATAATCGGGAGTTGAGAATGTAGTGGTCCCTGCTGGAAGCTTTCCAGGTTGACTTAGAGGAGGATCCCAAGTTGGTGATAGTAAACAGAAGGATAATAGTATGGGACTCGTTGATTGTTGGGTACCGCTTGGGCTATGTGATGAACTCAAATGTGTAGGAAAGTGGCTAATTAGTACAACAGCAAATACCTCTTCACATAAATAATCTTGTTAGTGAAATATTAGAAACTTGGTTATATGTATATACTAACTGTATAATATGTTATTTTTCTAATATGTTCTTACTTTTATTTACTATTTCAAAGAACCAGCTGCAGTTTAATAGGAATGTTCCTACACATCCGAGCAACTTGGCTGTCCGATATTCTTGCCCACATGCAATTAGAATTGAAAAACTGAAGCACTCATATAATGAATCATATTATAAAGACTCAGATTTTAGAGTTGGCCCTGACCTAAGCAGTTCTCTTTCATTTTCTGTAATATCAGAAGAGAAACTTAGCTATGCTGTCCACCTAGCCAAAAGAGATGTAAAACGAAGACAATTCGAAGAACTTATAAAAGAACATTATCCCAGAAGTCAGCCCCAAAGTTCTCAGAAATGTGGACATACCAAGTATAAAATATTTGACCACACAGAAAAGAAAGACTCAAAGAATCAAGAAGTCCGTCAGTGTAGCCACCAGCCATCTGAAGTAGGAATTTCCAGCTCAGGTGCCAGAGTATATGTGTATGCATCTCATCATGAACAGCCAGATCTTACCATGCCAAATTCGCCACCTACTCGTGATCTAGAACCACATCCACAGCCCAGGATAAGTGACCACAAAAACTTATGTGAACAGAAAAGCCTGCTAGAAGTTCAGCGACTCCAGAAAGAATTGAGCAGTTGCATCCATAAAATTGAAGAGGTAACTAAAAAAGGTGAGAAAAATTAGATTCTTCCTTTGATAAGATGCCATGTATACATAATAGTTCAGATACATTCATTGGGCCTTCCAGCCCCCACCAGGTTTCTTTGCATCCTGCTGGGTATTGGTTCTCTAGAAACAGGAGCATTCATGTCAAGATGGTTGAGTTTGGAGTTTGACCTGTGTCGCCTTTCTCTGAAGAGTTTACCTTGCTAACCTGCTCCCCTCCCCCCACTGTAGGCTGCGCTTCATTTGTGGACTGACTGAGGACCTAACCTATAAATTGGAGTTCGTGCTGTGTGAATCTTACATGAGTGTAGATGATCCTATATCCCTGTTTATTGAGAAGTCTTTCTGGCAATATATATGTGTGTGTATTATATATTTTATATATATATATATATATATATATATATGCATATACACATATATATGTAGATAGGTATATAGATAAAACCAGTCCTTGCTTGGGCTGTGTTAAGATGGATACACACCAGCGACAAGGGAAGCTATAGCTATTTGTATGAGATATCTGACCACAGGTAGAAAGGAAAGAGAATAATCATTATCTTTTGTTTTCTGAAATTCTTTAGTAGTCTCAGTGCCTTTGTGTTTACATGGAGAGTAGAGGATTAATTCTGCATAGAGAGTTTGAGGTTACTGTGGCCCACAAGTATGACTTCAAGCCCAGCTTTCAGCCTGGAAGGAGTAAAGATTTGAGTTTCAAGGGCCAGGGATTTAGCTCAGTGGCACAGCACCTGCCTGGCAAGTGTGAGGTCTTGAGTTCAATCCCCAGTACCAAAAAAGAAAAAGAAAAAGATTTGAGTTTCAAAAGGAACTATTGTACTTGGATAGTACATTGTTTACAGTGATACTTTGCATTTTACATTTAACTAATATATGCATATGTGTATATGTGCATGTTATATAAAGAATTTAAGGCACCTTAAAATATCTATTGATTGAGACAAGATAAAACTATGTATCTGAGGAAAATGTGGTATAGAAATAATAAGTAAAGAAAAAAGATTTATTTAGGAATGGGTTGCAGATTTATTTCTAAGTTTCCTAGGAGCCAGCTGCAGAGGGAACTGTTACCAGAATTTACCAGACCTAGCATCGAGAAGACAGTTGTGTAACAGTGACAATTTACAAATGCCATGGCCAGAAAAAAGTTTCTTCTCTTAGGTCTTTTATAGTATGTTGGTGTAATATCACAAATAATTAAAACATATTCCCATGGAAAATAGCAAAAATGCTGTGGCTAATTTCTTACTACATTTCTCAGTGTCAGTCCATGACATGACCCCACCACATACTTTAGGGAAACAAAGCCACAAAAACCCTTTACTCTGATGATTAGATCTAACATGGCAAACCTTCAAACAGCAGACCTTCAGACTCACTGTGGGAAGATTTGGGTTGGTTTATTTAAAATTTCAATCAATGATGAAGTAATACTTTGTAAACTATAATAAAAATGTCAAAATGATGGCAAATTGCTATAAAGACATGTAAATGCATACTTTCAGTTTCCACACTTACCTTGTTGTGGACTAATAATAGTTTTTAATGGCCCCTAACTGCATACCACCCTTTCATTGGCCCTGGAGTGCTCATTCACACTACCTGATTGCTGCTTTATAGACTGGTTGCAATAAAATAATATGCAAAGTGAACATGTAAACACCTAACTAAGCCAGTTCTTACTTATATTCATATTTGAGTCTGCATTTTCTCTCCTCTGTGCAGCCCAAACACAAGCAAGAATTAATTTGGCTTATAGGCTCCTGTGACACTGCATCTGTCTGTCCCACCTCTAACTTCAAAGCAGCCTTATTCTTCTTGGTTGACTTTTTCTTTGTTTTCTTTTTGGTGCTGGTGATGAAACCTAGGGCTTTGGGCAAATGCTCTACCACTGAGGTACATCTCCAATCCCCTTGTTTGCCTTTTTAATGAGTAAATAAAACAAATTGAACTCATAAAGTGCACTTTTGCTAATAAAATATTGTTTTCATCTGATTTGTGTTGGAGTTTTTTAAAAGTATTTATATAAACATTTGAAAATCACAGACAGGAATGGATAAACAGGCAACCTCAAGCAGTCTTCCAGAAAAAAACTCTTTAAACTGTTCTTTTAAACATGTGGAGCACCAGTGTGTACAAGGGCATGTCTCCTGATAAATACACGGAGACTTCAGACTCTGAAGTAATTTTAGCACTTGATATTTTAATGTATTAGAGAAAGCATTTCTCTTCTTGTGTCAAGAAAGTAAAAATAATCTTGCTAGACATAAAAATACAGTAATACCTCAATTTGTGAGTGCCTTTGTTTAGAAATAGTTTGATTTGCAAACAAAATAGAGGCAATTTTTGCCTCTATTAGCAAACTCTACATCAGATGACACAAACAACCACGGCCATTTTCCCCAAAATTGTAAAACACATTAAGGTCATAAATTGAGGAACCAGTATAGTATAGTTCAATAATGAGCTTTTTGGAAAAAGAAAAAAAGCATAAAATAGTACAAAATGCTTCATAGTGAGGAAGCCATCCCGTGGGATTTGGTTGAGGGAATTCTGGAATGGAGAGGAGCTTGTCACTGTCTTCTTGTCTCTTCCATTTCTGAGTCCATACACAGGCCCCCTCACTCATCCCTGGTTTCTTCCCTGGTGAAAAACGAAACTTTATGTTACAACAGCCTCATTTTTTTTCTTAATAAAACTAGAGATCTTCAACTTTATTACCCATTAGGTAACAAGTTTTCGAGTTTCTATGTGTGGTTTATAATCTGCTTTTGGGGAAAAATATTTTCAGGTAGACTAGAAGAAGCTTTGGATCCTGATGAAGAGCAGCGGATCCGTGTCAGGAGACAGGAACAGACTGTTCGCTGTACCCGGATGCTTTATGTCCTCCAGCAACAGGTGTGGCAGCCCAGAGAGAAGTGGGACAGTCAGCCTTGTGTGTTACTTTCTTATAGAATTTCAGCTTTCTTTTTATCTCAGAAAGATTCCCCATAAACTCTCCTCTGTGAGCTCTAAAGGATTTTTGAAGTTAAATTTCCTGAACACGGGAACAAGTAATTCCCATTCTTTTTGTCATCTGCCTTTATATTTGTGGGTTTTGGGAGAAGGGCCAACTTCCTTCTTAAACTCTTAACTCTTTGAGATTATAGATCTTGAAAATCTAGTAGAAGTTGTATTCTTTCCCCTTTCAAAAATATACATATACTGTACATTACGCAGCACATACTTGTGCATATGAAGTCTAGTCAATCAGTTACCTGAAACCCTTGATTTCCTCCAGCTGTAAACCCTGGTCTTTGTGGAAGGGACCTTATTAGTTTCCCTTCAGTTCATAGGTTAATTATTAGAAACTTAGATAGCATAATTTGATTATCCTTTATTAAATGGTAAACAATGAAGACTATGGCTGGGCACTGTGGCATATGCCTGTAATCTCAGCACTCTGGAAAGCTGAAGCAGGAAGATTGAAAGTTCAGCCTGGGCAAATTAGCATCTTAGCAAGACTGTCTCACTTAATCAGTTATTCAATTAATCAGAAAAAATAAGGAACGTGGCATATCTGAACTGCCTGGGTTCAGTCCCCAGTACTAAAACAAAAAGCCCCCCCCCCAAAAAAACCAAAACAAAACAGTTTATAAAGAATAAAGACTATGTTAAATGTCTTTCAAGACATTTATATTGGTTGATAAATAAGCTCTTACATTGTTTATGTTGTGATAGATTTTTAAAGGAGAAGTTTGTTTTAACTTTAATGACTTAACTTGTTGAAAAGCTTTTAATACCTTCCTGGTCACTGAAGCCACATGTTATTTCATTGCTTGACCCAAAAACTACTTTTTCATTTGAAAGAAAATGCCTGGGTTAGATTTTGTTCTGTATTCTTGTTTGAATTTTATTTAGGTCTTTATCTTACATTGCTGTCATAGAGATTGTTCTAAAATATGAAACTTACTGTGTTAGACTGCTGTTTGAAAGACTAGAGCAGCTTTAGAGAATGAAAGCTAGATCTTTAGTGTGTCATGTAGGGCATGATGATCTGGTTCCTGCCTTTCAAGAGTTACTTCCACCATCATTTCTTCGTGTTAAAGTCCTTGTACACTGGGGACCCAAGGATAGAAAGTGAACACTGCTCTAGTCACTGTCTTGAACTGGAGCCTTTTCTCATTTTCAAATGACTTGAATTAATAATAGTTATATTTGGACCAGAAAGCTATGTAGTATTCTACAAAAAAGACCAATGGGAAGGTTTGAAGTTTTCATTTTTTCTTTATAAAACAGGTAAAAGAAATCCAGGAGGAATTGGATAAGTTGAGTCCACATAAAACTAAACACACTAAGAAGGTATGATATAATTCAGGTATGATTAATACCTATTTATAAAGTTTGTTTTCCAGTGTTTTGTTAGTACTGCATGTGGGTTCTCTGCACTAACTTTAGTTAGTGCAATAACTTTCACTGCTGTTAGAAACCTGTTAAAAGTGTAAGCACTTTAAATATTCTGAATATGGAATGCTTTCTAAGTAATGGCTTCTGAAAAATAGATTCCCTATTGCTGCTAGTAAAAATAACAGAATAGAAAGAAAAAGACTTCTGGGTGTTGCTGCACATGCCTATAATCCTAGCACTTGGGAGGCTGAGAATCACTGGGAAGCCAGTTGGAGCTATATAGTGAGTTCAAGGCCAACCTGAACTATGTGGTGAGACCTTATTTCAAACAAAACAAAACAAAACAAGAAAAAAATGGAAAAGACTTAATTTACTATTTTGAAGCTTTGCAATCCTCTAAATTATGAAAAAACTTGCACAATAGGAAGCACTTTACATAAAAGGCACACTACAAATATTGTTAAAGTTTGGGTTATGTTAGAAAGTTTTGAATATTGACATAACTTCTCACTACTTGTTTATTTTTAGTCGTGGGCAGTTTCTAGGCTGGCAGCTGCCCATCGAGGAGCCATTCGGGCCTTACAGATGTTTGTCACTCAATTCACTGACCGAGGGGAGCACCCGGTTCCTGCTGGGTGTAGGGAACTGGGCAGTCTTATTCGTCAGCTTTCACTTTGTTCTGCCAAGCTGGATGCCAATCCTTCCATTCCTGATGTGGTTATAGATATCCTGCAACAAATTGAGGTATGAAATTGACTTATTTTTTGAGGAAAGTGTATTGTTCTTAAGCAGAGAAATAATGTTTGTGATGACCTAGTTTCATTAGGACTTTTGGAGAGTACAGGACAAAGCTGGTACCTTGTGAATTAAAGCTTTACAATCTCTTATTTACTAGTATGTTTTACTGCTTTGAGAATTATTCAAGACAACTTTTAACCCACAATGAATATATTCATTATATGTTGCAGACTTATAAAAAATTTTTCAAAAGGTAACTCTTAACCTATTTCATCAATTAAACAGAATATTCCATTCCTTGACAGTGCCGTTTAATAGAAAATTTATTAGCACAGAAAATGAAACAGTAAAGCACTCTTGGATTAGTGCTTAAATTTGAATGTCAGTGTTTAATATAGATACATTATAGAAAGAAGAAGTATTAAAAGATACATGTAAGCACAGCCTTAGATCTTGAGATAAAACTAGGAATTTCTGGAAATCACAAGTGGCATGAACTAGTTAGGAATAGTGTTCTTAGTTCTTGTTGATGACAGTGACAACAATATATGCCTTCAATTTTAAAGTTCCCTGAAGTTTGCAGAGTGCTTCTATGTGATTATGCCATTTAATTCTTACCACAGCACTGTAGTTTTCAGTTGCTTTTATTATTACTATGTTATAGATTAAAAAGTTGCAAAGGCCAAAAGGTGATACAATTACTTCCCTTACGATCTGGTAGTGAAATTCCTGTTTTCTGACTTCAGTGCCACCATGGCATACATTTCATCCACAAATAAAAAGATTACATTAGTGTGACATGGTAAGCTGTTAGCTGTAGGAGAATGATGGTTCAGTGGGGAGAATTCTGTACTGACTTGATAGTTCTAGCATTAACTACCTTTTTATGGTCTTTTAAGCTCCTTCTGCCTTTACAGTTCTGTTATCCAGCAAATATGTTTGTGATTTGCTTTGATTACATTTGTGTGGGAAGAACTCACAACCAGGAATGTTATTGTCACATACAGACCTCAGAATTTTTGGTAGTTATCCAAATCATGGGATGTTTTCTGAACATATTCATAAGAAACATTTATTGGCCAAAAATGATTTCATTTAGAGGACGTATCTTCATAATCCCAGAAAGGATTTCAGGAGATTGTCTAGTCCTTCCAAATTTTGAGCAAATTTTAACATGTTTCTTAAACATGATGTTTCACTCCCTTTTGAAAATAATAATGCAAGAAATTAGCCTTTCTTATTGATATACTATATCATTTCATAGCTTAATATCTTATGTTATTGTCATCTAAATTCCACCTCTGTGGCTGTGTTCAGTTGTCCTTAATTTGTGCTGACTGAGGAGAAACTATTGCCCTCACTGCCCAGTACTGAGCAGGTGAGTACTTATTAGAGGATACACCATTTTAGGACAGGGAGACATATCTCCTGCTGTTAACGGTGGTTGATAAGTGACCAAAGCCATTGGACCTGCTAAATTTCCTTTTGCTTATGCCTGTCATCCTAGCACTTGGGAGGCTGAGAAAGGAGGATCACTGTGAGTTCGAGACCAGCCTGGGCTACATAGTGAGTTCCAGGTCAGTCTTAACTACATAGTGAGACCCTGTCTCAAACCACCCCCCCAAATGTGTATTAGTTTATTAAAGTGTATGTTTACCCACTTAAAGCTACTTGAGTTTATGTGTTTCTGTTGAGAATTAAAATGCTTTTAAAGCATATAGGATTGTAGTCTCAAGATCATAGTTTCTAAAATGATTATCACTTAATTTTAAGATTTGGATTTCTTTAAAAGTGGTCATGTTCATTACTCTGCTATTGGGTTTAGTGAGCAAAAACATGTTAAATAACTTGCAGAAATTATTTTATTAATTAACTAATCAGATGTCCTAAGTAACCATTTTAAATTAACATTTTGTTAACCACTAGAGAGTTTTATAACACATTTCTCTAGAGTCTTTATTTCTTCAGTTTTGTAACTAAAAGTCATACTTTTGTAAGAGAAATTAAGAGAACAATATCTTGTTTAATGTCAGGCTTTGGAATCTCTCCTGGAAAAGAAACTGTCACCAAAAAAGGTGAAGAAATGTTTCAGTGGTATTGAGAGCCGATTTCCTATTGGTAGCGAAAGGACCCTAGAAAAATGGCCAAGGACATTGCCAAAGAGTGAGAGGACACTCTGTGTAGCAAAGGAGACATTTCCACAGGAAGCACGTCGACCTTTGGTGGCAAAGAAGCTTCTTGTTGGTATGTATCTTACAGTGTTTATTGTGAGATGTTTTATTCTTTGTAATTATCTCAGCTATAACAGTTATTGCACTGAGAGGAAAACCAATAATTATAACCTAGTCCACAATAGCTGCATTTTAACTAGAATCAGTTATATCAATCAAGATGCTCCCTTAGGCTGGAGGCTGTAATATTCTGTAGAGGAATGTGAAGAAAATAAAATTCTCTTTTCTTATATCATAGAGTTTACATGTGTGTGTGTGTGTGTGTGTGTGTGCACATGTATGCTGGGTGGAGATCAAACCCTGAGCCCGCTTGTGCTAAGCAAATGCTCTATCACTAAGCTATACCCCATCCTGTTAATTATATTTCAGTGATAGGTCCACAGTATACCTATACATACATACATGTGATACGGATGTACTTTTTTCATATAGGTAATAAATTCTTACTATTCCAACACTTGTTAGGTTGACACATTTGAACAAATACTACCTGTTTACACCTTAAAAGTGGGCATACAATTATGTTTTAACTTGCAGTAACACTAGTATGTATTTTCTCACATACTTGATATGATAAAATTTAAAATATTTTCTAGTCTCTTGGTGGAAAATGCTGTCTTACTGTTTGAGTTTCTTGATTCCTAGTGAGGGTTATTTCTTTCACATTTTCTTTAGTCATGTTTATTTCATTGCCTACTTGTATCCTTTATCTCCTTGTTAGATTGTAACTTTTGCTTGTGGGTGTGTAGAAGTTCTTATATATTCTGGGTCTTAATCTTTTTTTGGTTTACACATATCACAAATATTTTCTCCTACTTAGTCACTTTTTTTTGAAATTTATGATTCTTTCCTCTGACAGAAAATTTTAATTTTGTAGACAAATTCATCAATCTTTCTTATCTAGTTAAATATTTGATAAGACAATTCACTTTGTTCTTTTTAAAAATTTTACTGATGGTCATTGCTCATCTTCCTAAGGAATTTAAGATGAGTATGTTAAGTTCTATGAAAAATGCTGTTGGGATTTTGATTGGTATTACATTGAGTTTATAGATTAATTGGAGAAGTGACATCTTTTTCCTATACATTCACTTATGCTCTTTTGTCCTTTTAGTTCAGTTTTATAATTTTTTACATATAAATTTTAGAAATTCTTTGCTAGGTCTATTTCTAGTTTTTGTATTTTATACTTTTTATTGCTGTTGTCTTTTTTATTATTAAATTAGTGATTGCTACTTAAGGAAAACATTTATGATACTATATTTTGGTTGGTTCTGAGGTACACAGTTGAAGATTTTTGAAATTAGAATTTGTTCTAAACTGATGACATCTTACAATAATCCTAACATTTTATTTTTTTGTGTGTGTGTTGTAGTGCTGGGGATTAGTCCCAGGGGCCTCACGCGTGCTAGGCAACACTCTGCCATTCAGCTATATCCCTAGGCTAATTTTAAACATTTTTAAGCAACGCTTTAAAATCTGTTGGTGGGGTAGAATCAGTAGATAAGAGGAAAGTAATAAGGGTGAAGGAGATGTAAAGGAGGGTAATAGAGGAGATGGACATGATCAAAACATGTTATATGCATTTATGAAAATGACCACATTTAGAACCAATTTTAATTAATAATTAATAATTAATATTATTAATTCACATTTAGAACCAATTTTAATTAATAATTAATAATTAATATTATTAATATAATATTAATAAAATAAGGAATAAAATACTTAATACATAATAAAATACTGGATACATAACGTGTCTTATAAATGTTCGAGATTTGATGAAATAAGGTATTTTATTAGTTAATTCTTGTATCTTTTTCCAGTTAGATTAGATCACCTATAAATAAGTGTAGACAAATCCAGTAAACTGGTTTTTCTCTTTTTAAATGTGTATTTTTATTACTGCAAATTGATTTTATAACATACTGGGTTTTCTTGGGGCATTTTCAAATATGTATATAAATGTGTTGATCATATCCATTGCCATTATTAACCTCCCTTACATCCTCTTCTTTCTTTCCCTATATTCCCTTCCTCTTTTCCTTCTATGTTTTTTTTGTTTTTTGTTTTTTGATCTTTTGAGACAAGGTCTTGCTATGGTCTTGAACTCACTCTGTAGCCAGTGCTGGCCTCAAACTTGTGGTGATCCTGTTGTCTCAGCCTCCTGAGTGCTGTGATTACAGGCACACGCCACCACGCACAGTCACTGTTTTTCTTACTGGTTATACAGATTAATGGATTTTATTTTGACAGATATGTGCACGATCATAACATACTTTGATCATTTTCACCCTACCATCACCCCCTTCCCCTGGCCTCCCGGCGAGGTTCATATTTTAGGGTGCTGTTTTAATACATATATTTTGCTCATATCCATTCTATCATTGCCTGCCTTTACACCCCTCTCTTTCTTTTCCTGTCTAGTAATAGTCTCCCTTCTACTGTCCAGTATTTTTAGATTCCATGTGATACTGTGTTTGTCTGAGTCTAGCTTATTTCACTCAACTTGATGGTCTCCAGATCCATCCATTTTTAGTTTTCCTGTTTTAATTGAAGTAGAGCATATGCATACAAAAGTACACTCAGCATAAATTTACAGTTAAATTAATGCCAGAAAACAAAAACCTCTGTGTCATTACTACCCAAATCAAGAATAGAATTTTATTGCCACTCAAGAATTTCCCCCTTGTTTATTCCCTGTTTTCCCACAAAATATTTTTATGATGATTTAAAATTTTTTAATTTGTGAGGTGCTGGAAATTAAACTTTGGCCCACATGCATGTTAGACAAGTTTTTTTCCCACCAAGATAATATCCCCACCCCTTATAATAATGTTTTTCTCCCCTTGAGGTATTAGGGTTCGAACCAGGGCTTTGTGTGTTTTAGGCAACACTGTACTGCTTTTTATTTTGAGACAGAATCTTGCTAAATTGCCAGGCTGGCCTCAGACTTGTTATTCTCCTGCCTAGCCTCTTGAGTAGGTACAATATAAGCTTGTGCCACCACGGCCGGCCCCTTGTGATGATTTTTAATGCCATTTTTTGGTTTTGCCTGATTCAGAACTTTATAAAAATGGAACTACACAGTAATATTCTTGGGACTGGCTTCTTTTATTTCATCTACAGTGGACCCTCAAGTTATGACTGGCTGGACATATGAACAACTTGGGTTAATTAGGTTAATTAATGGAAGATTCATCTGCCTCTTGTTATCCATAGCATGTTCCCAGGTAAACATCTAGATCTCAACTGTATTGACTTACAACCAACTTGCGTTACAACCAGTCTTGGGAACTGATTGAATTCATAAGTCAAGGATCCACTGTATTTGTGTAGCTATGATTAGTTTATGGTAATTGCTATATTGTATTCATTTTATTATGTGAATATATCACAGGTTAACTTTTATTATTTTAATCATTGAGTTATTTCCAGTCTTGGATGCTTATAAAGAAAACTACTGTAATTATTCTTGCATGTATTTCTTGGTGAATATTTACACAGACCTTTATATTGCATGTTTCCAAGAGTATAATTGTTACGTAGGTCATAGGTACATGTTTGTTTAATTGTAATATATGAAACATTCTTTTCAAAGTAGCTAGCTGTATTATTTTATATTCTTGTCAACAGTGTTTAAGAACATTGATTACCCATACTTTCCAGTACTTATTATTAGTTTTTAAAATTTTAGCTACTTAGTATATAAGGCTATCATGGTTTTCATTTACATTTTCTGGGTCTTAGTAGTTTGAGCACTTTTTCATCTATTTATAAGCCATTTAGATATCTTTTTTGAAGGACCAGTTACCATCTTCTCTCTCTCTCTCTCTCTCTCTCTCTCTCTCTCTCTCTCCCTCTCC